CCCCAAAACCCCAAAACCCCCAAAGAATTTATTATGAATAATGTCGAATGAATGAAAACCAAATTAATAATCAATCTTAATTATAATCACTTTTAATCTAATCTACATAATGCTAAGCACTTGAGTCTTTTGGTTATTTCTTCAAGTGCTCATTTATGCTGAAAATTTCTTCTTATACCAACTTTTTAAACATACTGCTACTCAATGTATTCCAGGCGAGAGCAATTATTTATAATCTATAGGTCCATATGTAATAATTTCTAGGTTCATAAATGTTGCAATGATTACAAAAATTGACTTCTTTTTTTATCAACTCAATTGCAAGAGATGCTTTTTGTATGATGTCAGATAATTTTGAGAATATTGAATATCGGTACGACCATGATTTTGAAGATTTTCTGTATTTTTAGTTTACCAATGCTATTAAATTCAACTCCTTTTATAGTAGCTGATCTATAGATTGGATGGAACTTTAATTTTATTGGAGTTGAAGGTACTTTGCATCTGTAATATCTTTTCTGACATTTAGGTAGGTAGGATTTTCTCCGCAGATCACAACCAAAAACTAGCTGGCAATATCAAACTAATCGAATTATTCAAAAGTACAGCTCAGAATATTATTATCAGCACCCTTTAGCTTGCTTTGGTATTCAAATGAGACAAGTTTATTTTCCTCATCAAATTTCGTAGAAATCATTTACATACTAAATGGTTGATTGATCTTCCTAAATTCAAACACCCTCTTCCTTAGACTTTTAAATGCATCTTTTAATGAGTCTTTGTTCAAAGCAAGCTTTCCATCAATCAGAATGAAATGCTCTGAAATGTACTATAATTTTTTATTTTCCCCTGATTATTCAGGTTTGGAGGCTTCTTAAGTATAAAATTCAAATACGAGTGGATCAATTATGTCAAATTCATCAATTCTTTAAAAGTTATCAATGATATGCTTAAATTAATCGATTATCATCCCTTAGCTTGGAGCTTAATCCATTTTATTAATAATTATTATAATTTAAATTGACAATCTCTAAATTGTTGATAAATGGATTTGAGGGGTTTTGGGGTTTTGGGGTTTTGGGG